AATGGAAGACTTTTTAGCAGAAGAGGTGAAGTGACTGCCCCTTCGAGAGATCACCTAGCTGCAGGGGAGGGTGTGAGCCTGGAGGCAGGCAGACGGGGGGCGATGGCGGTCACTGTGGTGGGGACCATGAGCCATTGCCTGAGCTGCTGGCCATGGGTTGGAGAGAAGATGCAAGACTCAAGAGATGTGGAGGCAGCAGACTTTTTAGAAATACCTGTTGGATTTCTCCCATGTGGGCCCTCGTCCCTCCAACCTGGATTATCATAATGGCCTCTCAGACGTCTTCTTGTTCTCACTTTCTCTACTTCTGCCAACAGGCTTCCATAGTGTCATCCTGTCCCCTCCTCTGGGCCAAGGCTCTAAATTGCAGATAACACTGTTCATGGGCCAGTTTAAGCAGGGAGTGATACACCCGTGGGCAGAGCAAAGGCACAGAATCACTGGGGCCTGAAGAAACAGATTCCAGGAAGGTCTTTTTGGAGGAGCTCCCAGCATCCCCTGCAGATCTGCCTGCCAAAGGAGTTGCGGCCTCTGCCATTGTCAGGAAGCGTGCACCTTTGTTGTCTCCTCCACAGCCAGGCCGCCACACTCTGTACTGGCCAAGCGTGACCCTATGGCTCTGCTCCAACCACAGCCCAGTGCAGGGATACCGGAGCAATAAAATGAAACCACGAGTTTGCTCCTAATGGCAATGGACACTGGGAAATGTAGTTCTGGGGGGACTCTCTGATGGGAAGGTAGGTTTTACATGACCAAGAAAGATCAGAATGCAGAGTGTTTAAAGGCTTTGGGGAGCCATAGACGATGGTGGCCACCGCATGGAGAGTCTGGCACCCCGGTTTTCTTCCATCATTTACAGCTCACAACAGTGCCACTTGAGACATGTCCTGCTCACTCACAGATGAGGAAACAGACTCAGAGAGGCTGATGGGTTTGCCTGAGATCACACAGCAAACAGTTGGCTGAGTCTGTACTTGAACCGAGCTTTGTCCGTCACCAGAGCCCTACTGCATTCGTGGAATTACAGTACTTACCTGCTGTTTATTACCGATAGGAATAGACCACTGTTTATTCTGTCCGTCCAGTTTATTCTGCCCATTGAAGCTGGGCCACAAGGGCAGGGAGCACACCTGTGGAGGGGTTCCTTGTTGGCATGTGTGGGCAGGGCTGTGTGGAGCCATCTGTGAAGACAGGCTGCTTCCTTCTAGAGCTGGCCCTGTTACCACACAGCCCACACTGCTGCTCTGGGCAATAATGGCAGACATACAATCGTTAAATTTTAATTAGGAAGAAACAAGGTTCATTATTAGTTGTCATTCCTCATTGTTTCCTAGTTATGCTCATTGCATGATAAAATGAAATACTACATTTCACTTGCATTGTTCTTGCTCGGGGCTGATGGAGAAGAAAGACATACCCTGATTCTCGTTCCTCCTCCCCCTGCCTCTTCTCTTGTCTGAATTGCCCCTCCGTTCACTCCAAATTGAATAGCCAGGGAAGTGGGGGGGAGGGTGGTTAAAAGGGAGGATTCTGGAGTCAGAGCAGCCTGGGTTAGAACCCTGCCCCCACCACTTATCAGAGATCAGACCATTTGCCACGTTGGGCTTGTTTTTCCTTTCATAAAATGGGGATCGTAAAACCTTCTTCCTGGGGTTGCAGTGAGGATAATGTTACAGAAAATAATATTCCACAAATGCCTGGCACATGAGAGATGGTTCAGGAAGCGCCAGCTACTTTTAATATAATTTTAAGGATTATTATCAAACTAGAACTCACATACCAAGCTAAGAAGTCCAGACTGATGGAGTAAGTCTCTGAAGGCTTCTCCAGGAAGGATCACCATGATGGGTGGGGGTGGGGGTGGGGGCAGGACTGGGTGTTTGGAGTCGTTCAAGTGGTGGTTGGTGCAGTAAGAAAGTAAGTGAAGGTACAAAGGAAGTAAATTTGGGGTCAGTTCCCCATATAGTTTGATTTAACGGGACTTCCCAAGAAGGATGTGATTCTCGACTTGTTTCTTTTGTGATCAGGATGGGTTTGCCTGGAGCTCATTGGTGCCACGGAGCCACTATAATCCTTCGCAGGATAAGACAGACTGGCTTTAGGGCTCCCTGTGGGGTGAGAACAAAATGGATGGATCCAGGGGCCTTAGGTCATCACCTTTGTGTCATGTGCAGGCCTCTACAACAGTCAGACACACCAAGGCCTCGAACTTTCTATTTCTTCCACAGTTAATACCTCCATTTAAGTTTAATTATTTGAGGTCCCTGAAATTAAATCCACCCAAGGTGTAGGACATTGAGAGTTTTGCATTGAGCAGATGCCTTTTTTTCCTCTGTGTGAAGTTCATTGGCTCTGGCAGAGAAAAGAAAGAAAGGAAACGCTTAAGATTGTTTTTTTTTTTTTCATTTGATACTGAGCCAGATATATTTATTTGGGTTAAAATGTGTAACTCCCAGAACTGATAGAAAATTCACAAGGCTGAACATGCCTCACGCGTGGCTTGCTGTGGAAGCGCAAATGCCGCAGGAAAACCGTTATTTAGACTAATTCTCTTTCTAAGCGCAGTTACTCTTATGTGAGGGAAGCCGGTGCTTACAAAGCCACCAGGCAATCTTAATTTATCCCTTACTTAAGCCCTGCAGGAGAAATCTTTGTGTCATATTTAGAGAGAGGGATGGGGTAGGATTCCACTGGTCATGGCATAGAGGGAAAAAGAACACAAACAGCTATTTGGATAAAATTCAGGACTTTCAAAAGCCCCATTGATGTGAATCTTGGAATGTTATGGAAAGCCAGCTGCGGCCAGAAGCAGTCAGCACTCGCTATCCAGGGTTGGGTCCAGGATTTTGCTATTTGATGCCTGTTTTCTGGGCACGGCAGCCGGTGAATTTAAGAGCATTATTAGAAGCACATTCAGTATCTGTATCCAAGGGGTCAAGCGGTGGGTAGCACCAGCAGGTTGGTTCCCCCAAACCTCTTGAGGTGGCTGTGTGCTGGGGAAGTCATACAGTTTTCATCTTTGTACTGGGCTCCATAGTCTCTGAATCGCACCCTTATCTACCCGCCCAGGGTGAGCTCCCACCGAGGAGCTGAGGCACTCAGCCAGACCCCAGAGACAAAATCGACTGCCTGGGTCGTCCTGGAGAGAGCATGAGCTGGCTTCAAAACTGGGGACCTGCCTTCAAAACCGAGGACCTGCCTTCACTGCTGGTTGTTATTTTATGTCCTGCGATGCCTCCGGCTGAGCTTCTGACACCCCCCCCCCCCCGCCCCATGCCTACTTGATCCAGAACTGAACTATTTTCCCTTTATCTGTCTTGTATACTAGGAATCTGCCTGAGATTTTGTTAAAATTTCTTTTGGAAATCATTCTCTTCACGCAAAGAAGGAAACATCTGTTGTGAAATTTTTCTCCAGTTTGAAATAAAGTTCTTCTGGGACGCCTGGGTGGCTCAGTTGGTTAAGCGTTCGACTTCGGCTCAGGTCATGATCTCGCAGTTCGTGGGTTCGAGCCCCACGTCGGGCTCTGTGCTGACAGCCAGCTCAGATCCTGGAGACTGTTTCAGATTCTGTGTCTCCCTCTCTCTCTGACCCTCCCCTGCTCACTCTCTCTCTCTCAAAAATAAATAAAAAGCATTAAAAGAAAAAATAAGAAATAAAGTTCTTCTGCCTAATTATAAAGGTAATATATACATAGGACATAAAAACTTTGAAAAATACTGAAGACAGGAGAAGAAAAAATACCCAATTACTCAAAAAAGACTTCCACTGTTCATATTTTTCTGTATTTCCTTCTAACTTTTTCTCCTGTTCGTATTTTTATGTGGTTCAGACAGTACTAAACAAGCCAGTGTTTTCATTCATGATTATTTTTTACTTAAGATGGTTTCAAATGTAGGGACGCCTGGTTGGCACAGTCGGTTAAGTGTCCGACTCTTGATCCCGGCCCAGGTCATGATCTTACAGTTCGTGATTTCAAGCCCGCGCATCGGGCTCTGCACTGATAGTGTAGAGCCTACTTGGGATTCTCTCTCTCTCTCTCTCTCTCTGCTCTTCCCCCACTTATTCTCTCTCTCTCTCTCTCAATAAATAAATAACCTTAAAAAATATGATACCAAATGCATCTATGATACGGATGTTTTTATTTAACTATTGTTTTGATTCTTTTTACTCTAACTATTAGTGTCATAAACAACTTCACACATTAATGCTTTTTCAAATTTTGCATTTGATCAAGTGTCAAAAGTAGCATTGCAAGTTTAAACATGTGGGTTATTTATTTATTCTCTCATTTTGTGTTTATTGTATTGAAGTGTAACTGACACACAACATTACATTAGTTTCAGGTGTGTGACACACCGATTCCACCACTCCATATGTTATGCTGTGCTCACTGCACATGTAGCCACCATCTGCCACCACACAATGCTGTTACAATGCCATTGACTATACCCTCTGTGCTGTGCCTTTTATCACTGTGACTCACTCATTCCAAAACCAGAAGCCTGTATCTCCCATTCCCCTTCATCTGTTTTGCCCCCCATCCCATCCCCTCTGGAAACCATTGGTTTGTTCTCTGTATTTATGGGTCTATTTCTGCTTTGTTTGTTTGTTTTCAGACATCTGGGTCTTTTATTTTTTAATTTGAGAGAGAGAGAGAGAGAGAGAGAGAGAGAGAGAGAGAGAGCATGTGAATGAGAGGGGCAGAGAGAGAAGGAGAGAGAATCTTAAGGAGATTTCAGGCTTAGCACAGATGTGGGGCTCCATCTCACAACCCTGAGATCACGACCTGAGCCAAAACCAAGAGTCAGACGCTCAACTGACTGAGCCACCCAGGTGCCCCAAATATCTGGATCTTTTGAAGGCTTTTGGAATAACACAAAGTTGTTTTGCAAAAGGGCCATACTGAGTCACTCATCCACAAGATGTTTATGAAGCAGCCTGTTGTACCATACCGTCACCAGCACTAGGTATCTTTATTTAAAAATCAACACCACTCTGTGCCTGCTTCAGCAGCACATAGATTAACGCTGGAATGATACAGAAAAGACCAGCATGGCCCCTGTGCAGGCATGATGTACTATTTGTGAAGCGTTCCATATTTAAAAACAAGTGAATAGCATCTTGTTTCTTTGGTTTGTCGATTTTTATATTTGTTATCCGGTTGTATCTTTACGATGTTCTTTCTTTTTTTAAAAACAGTTTTTTGTCAAGTTAGTTTCCATGTAACACCCAGTGCTCATCCCCACAAGTGCCCTCCTCCATGCCCATCTCCCCCCTCCCCCCCCCCCCCCCCCCCCTCAGTTTGTTCTCAGCATTCAAGAGTCTCTCATGGTTTGCCTCCCTCCCTCTCCTCCCATATTTCCCCCCTTCTTCTCCCCCACGGTCTTCCGTTAAGTTCCTCCTAATCCTCCTATATGTGCAAACATATGGTATCTGTCCTTCTCTGCCTGACTTATTTCGCTAAGCATAACACCCTCAAGGTCCATCCATGTTGCTACACATGACTAGATTTCATTCTTTCTCATTGCCATGTAGTATCCCATTGTATAGATAAACCATATCTTCTTGATCCATTCATCTCTTGATGGACACTTAGGCTCTTTCCATGTTTTGGCTATTGTTGAGAGTGCTGTTATGAACATTGGGTTCCATGCGCCCCTATGCATCAGCACTGCTGTATCCCTTGGGTAAATTCCTAGCAGTGCTGTTGCTGGGTCCTAGGGGAGTTCTATTGTTAATTTTTTTGAGGAACCTCCACACTGTTTTCCAGAGGGGCTGCACCAGTTTACATTCCCACCAACAGTGTAGGAGGGTGCCCGTTTCTCCACATCCTCGCCAGCATCTAGAGTCCTCTGATTTGCTCATTTTGGTAGGGTGTTCTTTCTTAACAAAAACAATTCTGACACTCTGCTTTCCTACTTTGAAGGCCCACGGGCCCCGTAGGAACTGCATGTAGGACAAAGTTCCATGGAGCAAGCGGGGATGAGAACACAACATGCGAACCAGAGACACCATTTCCACTTTGCCACACAATACCTGTGTGACCCTGGACTAGTCCTTGATCTACACTTGAATTCCCTCACCTACAGAAATAGGAAAACCAATACCAATGCCCTAGAGTCATCATGAAGATTACATAAGATGTCCTTTGGAAGGAAGTCAGTGGAGTATCGGTTATAAAACACACCTCTAGATCAGTCACTGTCATATGTCACAACAGCATCCATGACCCGTCATGAGAAGAACAGCCAACATTTAGCAAGACTACCTTCTACTCACCAGGCACTGTGCTCAGCCCTTTGCTTGTAGGAGCTCACATCAGCCTCACAACAGCATGTGAGGGAGATGATACCATCATGTTTATTTAATAGATGAGGGGACTGAAGCACAGAGAGATGAAGACACTTGCCCAAAGCTATACCCCTGGGAAACTGCAAAGCTGGGACTTGAACTTTTAACATGGAGCCCCATCCTTGCTCTCGGGCCTCCTCACCCCTGAGCCACATGGCAGTATAGGGCCTTCTCTAACGCATCATGCCCTTTCACCCCTGGGCCTTGACTCGTTCTCATCCCCTTATTAAACGGGCGTCGCCTTCACCCCGAAAGCACTGCCCACCCTTAATATCTGACTTAAATGTCCTCTGCTCCGTAGTCAAATCAGCCTCCCCTTACCTGGTGCACCATTGTCACTTACACTTTTGCCCCCTGAGGCACTTAGCCCGTTATCTGTGTGCTTGTGTGTGCGCAAGCGTATGTGCATTCATGATGCACTCCCTTGTGTATCTTCTCTTCTAGTGTGTGGGCCTCCAGTAGACTTCTATCCATTTTTCTCTGGATCTAATTTCGAGTATGATGTCTAAAGCCTACAAGGGGCCCAGCATCTATTTGTTGCATGAATGAACAGATGGTGGCTCTTCAGGCCCAGTAAGGGGTGAGCAGGTGAGAGAACCAGACTTCCTGGAGGTTTCCTCACAGCCTCTCCTACCTGGGTTCTGTCTAGGGCTAGTCCCATAATAAAATAGCCTTTTCCTTTTCCATCGGCCATTGGCCCACCTCCCATTCTGCGTAGCAATGCCCGTGGCCCACAGCTACACTCCCAGGTCCCCCAGAGAACCTCAGCCGCCCACTTTGAGGTTTGCCTTCTTGTTGGTGGTGCAGGGGGCTGGGCTGCTTCTTACCAGCTGGCCCAGCCCTTGAGGTCCACAGGCAGCTGGAGGAGACATACTGGGATCTGCGTGGGCTCCAGAAAACCAGCCCTTTCAGAACTTGCTTGTTGGCAGGGGTGGGTGGCTGCATGTAAAGGCACCATAGGTGACCCAGAGCTGGACACAAAGTGTGCGTGCAAAGCATAGGACAGAACGCAGGTGCTGGAGTTTTCCGGTGAGATGTAGGAGGAAGTGCAGCCTCTGTGCAGAGGAAGCCTGGAACCGAATGTGTGGGGCCAGGATTTTAACAAACTGTATTAGTGTCCCATTGCTGCTGTAACAAATTACCCCAAACTTGGTGGCTTAAAACTGCACACGTTTATTCTCTTGCCATAATACTAGAGGCCAGAAGTCTGAAATGAGGCTCAAGGGGCCCAAATCAAGGCATCAGCAGGCCCGTGGCCCCTCGGGAGGCTCTAGGGGATGGCCATTTCCTTGACTCTTCCAGCTTCTGGAGGCTGTTCTCATTCCTGGGCTTGTAGCTCTGTGTCACCTTACCTTTTCTTTCCCTGCTTCTGTCCTTACACCTCCTTCGTACTCTTCTGTCCCAAATGTCCCTTTGCTTCCTTCTAATAAGGACACTTGTACTTGCATTCAGGCCCACTTGGATAATCCAGCATAATGGCCCCTTCTCCAGATCCTTAGTTAATCCCATCTGCAAAGTCTCTTACCCTGTAAGGTGATATCCACGGGCCCCAGTGACTAGGGCCTGGGTGTCCTGGGGGGTCATTATCCAGCCCACCACACATGAATGTCATGACATATGATGCCGTTTTCCCCACCCAGGAATGAGATGCAGGACACACTCTTTGCTTCACGCCTTCAGCTGCCCCAGTGTGTACCAGGCTCTGTGGCAGGCACTGGAGGTACAGAGGTGGCGTGACCTCACCTACTGGCCTGGAAGGGGTGGCCAGTGACAAGCAGCTGCAGAGTGAGTGCAGTATGACAAATGCCACAAGAGAAGCTTGCAAAGAATGAGGAGGGGATGCCACTTCCGGTGGCAGATGAGGAAAGGGGTCACACAGCAGAGAATTTCCTGAGTTGGTTCTTAATGGATGTGGAACTTTCCAGGTAGACAGTAAGTGGGGAGGCAAGAGTCAAAGTGGAGGAAACAGCAGGGACTGGTGTGTGGGCACAGGCACACTGGAAACCTCTGGAGTGAGAAAACATGGATTTTCTATGACTCTATAGCTCCTTGCAAAGGAGGCTCTTATGGGCCCGCCTCTGGCCCGCTCTTGGCCCCATGCTGCCCTCCCGCGGCTTGCTGCTCATGAGAGCATCTTCTCACTTTCACTGTCTTCCCATTTGCCTGCTGAGAAGATGGGCACCATCTCTCTCTCTCTCCTCTCCTTACACGTGGGCCAGTGTGCTAAGCCCCCTGAACACTGGATCCTCCAGAACAAGCCTCCTGTTTCCCTTGCAGCCCTACTCCCTGCAGGCGCCTGGGCCTTCCCTGCAACGGGGAGCCCGGATCCATGGCCTTTGTGGAACGATTCCATTGAAAAGCTCACAAGCAAAATTTCGGTAGAAGTCATGAACATTTGACCACGAGGTTTGAGGAAGGCCAGGGCCAGGGTTGAAGCAAGCATATAACACTGGGTTTGTGGGGTGATGCATCTCCTTCCTCCAGCATTATTTTATCTGCTGAATTAATTGCATGGGGACTAGAAGCTCCCTGGGAATAAGTAAGGACAGTTCACGAATATCGGAAGGGAGGGGGGAGAACACAAGAAGCCAGATTTCAGGGGAGACCACAGGGACTTGGGATAGAACCCGCCATGGAGGAAGGAGGCGCCTGACTCAGGAACATTCTGGGCCTCAGAGTCTGAGAGCTGGAGGGGAGCAGTTGTTCTGGAAACAGTTGGGTACCGGCCTTGGAAGCTCACCCTTGTTATAGAGGAGGAAAAGGCTTAAATTGAAATACGTATGCAAGTAAAGAAACGGCTTTAAGGGACTAGGTGTGGGATCCCCTGTAAAAGTGCAGAATACAGGGGAGGGGGGGGAGGCGGGCAGGGCAGAGCACAGCCTCTAGTGGGGCAAGAGGGGTGATGAGGGCAATGAAGAAGGAGCTTTGTGACCTTGCACTCCTTGGTTCTACCTGTGTCAAGGGGCTATCGTGAGATTCAGATGACATCAAGGCCAAGGTGCTTTGGAACCTTCCAGGTGCTGAGCACAGGTCAAGCAAGTGGGACTTAAGGGACTGTGAGAGGGCGGCCTCTTTTCAATTCAGTGGCGAAAGTGGTAGGACGTACAGATTGCTTTAAACGTGAAAGCTTCTCTTTTTCCATCGTTCCGTCTAGAAACACTGGTAATGCTGATGTGAGGCATGTCTCCATTCACGCATCCATTTATTCATGAATTTATGCAACGCCGCGTGCTGTTCCTGCTGAGGGGCAGGCGTGGGTTGGGTGGTGTGGCACACATGGTGGGACTTCCTCCCTGGATGGCAATGGGGGGCGGACGCCAGGGGGACAGGGCCTGGCCCCACCGGCTATCATAGAACAGCCGTCTCTTTCAGGCCCTGAAAGCCAAGGATGTCAGACCCAGTGAAACGCCGCACCGGGTCCTGCCCTGCGCTTTGTAAAGGCTGCTGACAGCTGTCATTAGCTCAACGTTAGGACAGGAGCTGTGATAATCACCGCTGAGTGACTATAAACACAGAGCGTCCCGGAAGAATATTCAGAGAGTGGGGCAACTTGTTAGCTTAGCTTTTGTCTGGGTCGGGGAGAGGGAAGGGAAGTTTTGTCGGGGAGAGCATTTGCCGTAGTAAAAACATGAAATCAATCGTACGGGTCTAATTTAATTTTAATTCACATTTTTATCCGTGGAGTTTGTTAGAAGGGCTGACGTTTTGCTGGGACGATCCATAAGAGCTGAATTGTCCTCGAATTAGGAGAT